GCCAGCCAGCCAGCCAGCCTGGGCCCTGCCTCAGCCGCCAGCCTCCCAACCTCGCCACCGCCTGCCTCCCGCCCGCCTGCCACCCACCCAGCCCCGCCGCTCACCCAGCCGCTCGTGGCCCGCGCGCCCCAGCCAGTGCAGCAGCAGCAGGCTTTCCTCAATGGTGGCCCGCCCCAGCAGCAGGAGGTCGGACACATGCAGCAGCTTGGAGCCGCGCTGGTAGTGGGGCTTGCGCTGGCCGTAGTAAGGAGACTCGAGCGCCAGGGTGGCGATGCCCTGCTGGCCAGGGGGAGGCGGGCATGCAATGGAGGGGGCGTGGCAGCGATTTGGGGGATGGGGCAGGGTTGCTGCAGAGCGGGTCGGGCATGGTGCGGTGCAGGCGCAGGGGACAGGAGGGCTTAGGGCACGTGGGGGGCAGGCGGCGGCATGCTGCGGCTGTGCCGCAGCTGCCGGGAAGCTGGCGGCCGCGCTGGGCCCCACGCGCCTGCTGCACCAGGGGGAGCCCCAGGTGGGAGCGCCGCGCGTAGCCGTGGTCGCCGGTGGCGGCCAGGTGCACCACACAGGGGGCGCCATCGGCCGGCGCGTCGGGCACGATGAGCATAGCGTGCGCAGCGCGGCTCTCAGCCGGCAACGCATCGTACACCTGCAGCCGGTGCAGGTGGAGCAGGGCCCGGGCGGGGCGGGGCAAGGGGTCGCGGCCGGCGACAGCGTGTGCGGGAGAAGCGCAGGCGAGGCGGCCAGAAAGGCGGACGCGTGGCAGCGGCAGGCAGGCGTGCGCGGCAGAGGCGCACCCGGCCCTGGCAGGGCGTGCGGAAGGAAGCCTTGAACACTTTATAGCCGTGCTTGCCGTAGCTGGACTCAACCAGCTTCTTCCAGGGCAGCTGCAGGGGCAGGGGGAGCGGGCTGGCTTGCTGACCCGTCGCCCCGCCTCACAAACCTTATCAAATGATGGGGCTGGCAAAAAATAAAAGTTGCCAGGTGGCACATGGCCCACATCTAGCACCCACCAACCCGCCCGCCCGCCCACCTGCTGCGGGAAGTGGTCGGGCGGCCAGCGCTGGAACTGCTGCACGTCCTCGTGAAAGTCAATCAGGTCCAGGCTGCCAAAGCCCTGCACCCAGCTCCAGTAAAAGGGCAGACACGGGCCCAGACGCGGGTCAAACATTGGAGGGAGGAGCAAGTCGACACCAGAAGCAAACAAACAGAGGTGAAGGTGTGCGGGGAAGAGGGCGGCGGCGGGGCGGGCCCTGCACCCGGCTCGCTGCGCCGTGGCAGACAGAGGGGAAGCCCAGCAAGCGAGACGGGCGCGGACAGCTGGGTTCCCCCGAAATATAAGGTTGCGGCGGCCGCCGCTGCCGCCGACCTTTGGGAAGAAGCGTGGGATGATGCCCAGCTGGTGGACGAGCGCGGCGTAGGCCAGGTCGACTATGCGCCCGCTCCTGGCCAGCGCCGAGGTGAAAGCAGACTCCATGGCTGCTCTGCACCAGCAGCAGGCGGCGTGTAGAGCGGCGGCGAGGTGTCCGCCGCTCTATGGCAGGTGGTCGGCTGCAGCCCTCCACGCGGGCGCGGCGCCTTGGTGACGACTCGCTGTGCTATTCTGGCTGCCGGGCCAGTCTGGGCTGGAGCCTGACTGCCGGTGGAGGCAAAATTGGGAAGCAACACTGCTGCCTGCACGCCTCCGATGCGTGGATGAGCTGGTGCAGGCGGGCGATCGCGACAACTGCCCACAGGGCGAGAAATCGCCTGCTGTGTGCTGCGCGTCCTGCTGGCGGTGGCTGGTGCACAAGCAGTGTTTCTGAAAGCTGGCGAAATCGCCAAATGCTGGCGAAATCGGGCCAAAAAACGGCTCTGGCTGGCGATTGGCCGAAGGCCATCGCCAGCCAGGGCTGGCTAAATGAGGGCAGGCGGCGGGGCGACATCGCCAGCGCGTCGCCAGCCCCCATGACTGACATCGCCAATATTTTGAGGAGAAATGGCCAATTTTCCTCAGGAACTTCACTCCATAGTGTTAAACAAGCGGA